TTCAGATTAAAAACTTTTTATATAAATTTTTCAATGGTTTCTAGATTTTTTTAAAGATTTTTTAGTCACTTATTACTAAATTATTTATTTATTTAGATAATTTTTAATTTTTTAGTTATTAAAATCTAAAAATTAAAAAAGCTAATAATTAAGGTAAATATAACAAAAAAATTCAGATTAAAAACTTTTTATATAAATTTTTCAATGGTTTCTAGATTTTTTTAAAGATTTTTTAGTCACTTGTTACTAAATTATTTATTTATTTAGATAATTTTTAATTTTTTAGTTATTAAAATCAATAAAATAATACTTAAGGAATTCAAAAATACTAAAAAATGTAAAAATAATTTTTTGATTAAAACCAAAATTCATTTAAATAGTTATTTTTAAAAGTGTAATTAAAACCAAATAAACTTATATTTTTTCGTTTAGTTAAAAGTTATTAAAATTTAAAGTCTGAAATTTTATTTAATCAATAATTCAATTTCAATTATAATCAAAACCAAACCATACACAACCCTATATCCAATTACTGGATTAATGGTTCATTTGAAATTCAAGTCCCATTTTCGGAGCAGTCCTTTTTGAAAATCTTGGTAGAACTTGATTGTTGTCAAGAAAATGAAAGATGAAATTTTGAATGGCAATTGAGTGGTGCTGTGGGAAATGTGGGAAATTTGGAACAGTGTTGAGACAATGTAAGTGGGAATGCTGCGGTTTCATCATCTTTGGTGGAATTATTCGCTCCTTTCTTTTCTTTCTTCTCACTTTAGCTTTTGCTACACAATCCGTTAGTAATCTTTCTTTTCATTTCTCCATCATAGGAATCTATTCCACAACCTTCTTTTCTTCGATGAAAATGATGTTGTCTGGTAATGCTGAGAGAAGAGAACACCCTCTTAAATTTTCCTTTTTGACATAATGTGGGGTTATAAGAAATTTATTTCTCTTCAGTTTTTTTAAACTAACAATTATCGACACTCGCACCTGGCCCTTGAGGCCTAGTGGTATTAGCCACAGGTGCATTTTCCCCCGAGTAGGGTTCGAAACCCGTCTTTTGCAAAATATGTTCAAAGAAAAAAAAAAAAAACAATTATCAACACTCTCCACAGTTGTGTTTTTTAACAATCGACAGTTATTAGATCTAAAAACGTTTTTAAACTAAAAGTTTCTAAAGTTAGTGTTACATGTTATCATTCAAATAATCATAAAAGTAGAAAAAATCTATAGCTTAGGTGTTATAGGCAAAAACCCTTCTTAAGCCCCAAACTTAGCCCAAAATAGCATTTAAACCTTTGAACTAAAAATAAAGCAGATAAGTCCTTCAACTTGCTAACGATGCAAATAAGCCCTTCTCATAAATGGGTCAAATGGTATTTCATGTTTAATATCACATTGAAAGCATGAATACCCATGAATGAAAAGGGTTTATTTGCATCGTTAATGAAGTTGGAGGGCTTATTTACTTCATTTTTAGTTTAGGAGTTTAAATGCTATTTTAGGACAAATTTGGGGGCTTAAGAAGGGTTTTTGTTGGTATTATATGGATCAATTTTTGTTATTTTAGTATCTAATAATAAATTATATAAGAAAAGATAATGCTTCTATTTTTTAAAATCCCTCTCAGGACTCAAGGGTCAAACATAAAATTTTCAATTTTATAGTCCTAAATTCCTAAGCAATTAAATTAGCCTTTTGTGGGTATTATATGAATTAATTCAGTTAAGCATTTATGGGAAATGTTTTGTATTGGTAGCGCATGCACTAGCAAATTAATAGTTTTGGTTTTAATTAGATCAACTTGCAAGCGGTTGAATATTATTGTCTTTACTTCATTTGAGCTGTAATCATTCATAAAATCAAAAGATTGACCAAGTAAGATATTTTTGGTTACCTACCCGTCCATAGAGGATGCGTAAAAGATTGGCCAAGTTGGTATATAAATGTATATGTACTTAAGTTATAGTTGCGGGTAGACTTCCTAGCTTTGAATACCCTTTTCCTGGTTGCATACAAAATGGGACTTATTGAGAGATCAACCTCAATCTCTGTAAGCAAATGAAAGTGCCAAAATGGTCCAGAAGCAAGGCAACGAACATTAATGCCTAACACCATATAGCCCACAGGACCACCAGGCCTGAAAGTTGACACATACTCTTCCATTTTTTTGCTTCCCATGCACATGGTATGGGTAACCAAAGCAAGTTATCCCCAACAAAAAGATTGTGGAAAGATCAAAAAGGAGAAATTCAGAGTACTATTGCTTTCATTTCTCTAACTTCTTTTGTTCAGTTTTCCATTACAAGGAAGCAAAGAAAAGATAGCCTCCTCTCTTATCTCTACCTTTTAAAATAACAAGATGATGTTTTGGGTCTACCACAAATATGCTAGCTTTACTTTCATGAAAATAATACAGATTGCAGTCTCATAATTGGGTATGAAAGAAAAAGAAATGTATTTCAGCCACGGCAAAGGTCATTTCCTGCAAAATTTTGTGGATTTATGGATTAAAGCAGAGTGTTTCATCCTCGTAAGGAAAGGAGAAAAGGAGACTTTTCATGATAACCATTGACTAGTGAACTGTCTAAACTACATTTTCCACCCGTCGCAACACAAAAAGGTTGTGGCAATAGATAGGAGATTGTGAAAAATCAGAGAGATTCATTAAAGGATTTTATATAATTTAATGAAGAATCATGTTGCGACGTGATGATTTTTACTTTTCTCAATAAATACTCCCTCTATTCCACATTATTTGTTGTTTTAGGTTTTTATACATTGATTAAGAAAGTAATTTATTACTCTTGATTTTGGGGATATATAAGCTTAAAGTATTGTTTTACCCTTTTAATAGAAATGAGAAAAAAATAACAGATCAATCAGCAAATGAATACATTGTACAAGAGAAGGGCAAATTTGAAAAAGCAATAATTAATATGACATTGATATCCTAAAACGTCACTTATTTAGAAATAAAAATTTCTTTCCACAACGATAGATAATGTGTGGAACAGAGGGAGTAATATTTATTGAAAGAAAGAATAAAATTATAGGAGCTTGGCTAAGTGTTTGTCGGCCGGGAAGCGAGAGCTAAAGACAGAGTATATGGCAGTTGTTAGTTGTGGCAGACAAAGAACATAGATCATCAATTCAATGCTGTACTTAGGGATGCAAGATGTGCCCTGTTATTTATCAAGACTATCAACTTATGACCAAAATTATACCTCTTCGTTGGGACCTCAGGATACCAGGGACGATTACCTCTTCATTTACCCCACGATTCCCCTAACTGTGCCCCAAGAGTTAGAACCCTTGTCAGAACCTGCAACAGCCATGACACCACAAAGTCTCAACAACCTACCCTTTTTTTTTCTTTTTTTTTTTTCTTTTTTTAAGATTAAAAACCTAAACCTGTAACTAAGAACACAAATAACCCTATTATCAGACCACATGCTTAATGCTTAATGGTCTCAAGCACCCATTGAACGTGGAGCTAGAGATGATTATTTATGGTCACAACCACTTAACTAGGTAGCAAGTTAAGAAAACGAGTCAGCAATCCAAAAATTCATAAAAGAAGTTTTAGACTTTTAACATATCTTTGGTATATTTCTTTGGCCTACCATATATCTTTGGTATTTAACAAGGTTGTTCCTGTTCTAAAAGGGAGAAGCCAATGTCTGTAGAAGATATTGGCTTCATCCTTGAAGGAGAAGTTCCAACAGCCAGCACTATGCATATAAGCCCATGCCCTAGGTTCAGCAATCACGTGGGATAATTTGTCCTTTGGCTTCACCTTAATGGTTGGTTGTGAACTCTGCTTCCAAAAAGTCTTTACAGCAATCACATTGACCCAAAGGGGGTATATCCTCCAGAATTGAACATGGGAGGTGGGCATGTTCCAACTTGATAAGGATAACCTGAAATACTGAAGCAACAAGGGTGAAAAAATAGAAGATAACAAAACATTGCATAGGTGGGTTACATTTAGCATCACAAAAGGAATGTCTGTAAAGAACTTCTGCTCGAATGTTGCCATAAATGCTAAAAAGCATTCAAGGATTTTATCAAAATTGGTTTTTTCTATCTTCTTTCAGCATTTTACTCCAAATGGCTGACCGCAAGTCTTCAGTCCAATAAGTCTTAGCATTTGCCTATGTTACTTTAGCTCTGCGCTTCTTATCACTATTTGATATATATCAGAGACCTAAATTTGAACACGCCTAATGGAAGCATAGGGGAAATGACAAGAGTCAGTGCTTTACCACATTTGGATTAGAGGGAAGAGCACTAGACAAAGCAGTTGGTGGTCTTGGAGCCTGCAAATCAGGATATGGATAGACAAAACTACTAATTTGACCATTAGGAGGGTAGTACACATATTCAGAACTCAGAGCAGTTTCAGAGAGAGAAGGTTCTATCATGCTGCCCCCTGAGAAATTGGTACCAGGGCTAGGGACTGTGTTCCTCCCATCAATGTATTGTCTAGTGTGGGAAATCTGGTAAAGGCCATTTCCAGCACCAGGAATACTGCTGTAACTCGCAGGGTAAGGTCCATATGCAGTTGGTGCTCTTCGAATTGGATTATTTTGACAACCTTGGTAATTAGCACAAAGCCCACTGGATAAGCTAAATTGACCTGCATAATTTGACATGCCATACTAAATTTAACAAACTAATTCTTGAGCATATTTGCAAGCAACCTCCACAACTAAGTGGGTA